CCGGTCTGTCCGCCCCTTCGTTAGGAAGTCGAACTCGTGCGCTGTGGTTTCGATACGTAATTGGCTCGATACGGGAAACGCGGTCGCAATCTATCTTCATGAAGGAATGTTTCGTCATAAGAATCCATCATTCCCCGTTCGGGTCTCTATGTCTCTCGGTTTGCGACTGCCAAGCGCGAGCTCCGGTCGAAGTCGACTCCCTAGGAACTGTACTGCCTTTTGCCCTTTGAAAAAAACGGCTAATGGAGGATTTTCAAAAAGAGTGGCGTTCAAAACTTATGGTTCCAGTCGGGTAGTTCCTTTCTATCGACGAGGAAATAATATCATGAACGCTCCCGAGTCCTATCCATTGCTGGAAATTCTATTGTTTCTTTGTTCTCACAATCAATTACGATTGATGAGGGGGAGAATTTCTAATTCCTCCATGTTCGGGAACGATAGTTCCCGTCATGTCCCCATCGCGGACTTCGTACTCGATGCTCGAGTCTACACCTCGCGACTCGCGAACGATTATTTCGCTGCTCGCTCCGCGCGTTGGATATCCGGTAACCAGGCCGGTCAAGGTGCATCATTCGCCAGATTCATGGCCATCGGAGTTTTCGTTTTGCTCAATGACCCTTATCATTATTCCGAACTCCGCACGGAATCGCAACCTTCTCTCAGCAAAGAGCTGGTCAGCCCGACGCTCTTCGAAAGTGAATGTCAAAGGAAACGGGACGACGACGCGGTGCCATCGCCCATTGTACGCGACGTAGCCCCTCGTTAATTATGAACTGTCTGGGCGTGTGGGCAGGCGGATGGGTAGGCGGCTGAGACTCGTGCAAGCGCGCCCAATAGGCTTCGAGTCCGCCGGTCAACCCCCCGCACCGACCCGCTGCTAGAAGATTCAGCTTGACGGAGTGCTACCAAGTGATCGCACGTGAAGCATGAGTCGTCGGAGGGAGATGGGGAGGGAGAGAGGGGCAAGGCAGGGACGAGGGGGCTTCGAGGAGCGGCTCGGCACAGAAGAATCACGGGCCGGTCCCGCTTCGTCCAGGGGCGAGCTCGCACGATGAGCTCGTCGCTCGCTAATCAGAAATCGCTTTTCTGTAGAGTTCGATCCGCTGATTCAATCGTGACGGCAGGTCCCAGCCCCAGGATTCGGACGTCGGACACAAGAGCAATTGCGCTCGCTTGCTAACTCGGTTGAGTTCCTGTTGAGGCAGGGCAGCCCATCGATGGAGAGATTCAAATGCTTTCTCCTGTCGCCTTGCTGGTGCTGTTAGTGCATCTCTGGGGTGTCGATGATTAAGGGCCCACATGGAAACGATCTGCGAATGTCGTCAAGGGCTCTCGTTCCGATTCACGCATAGGTACGACGACGGAAGCGTCCAATACACAGGAATATACTCCTGTGCAATTATCATCGAGCTCCGCCTTGGAGACGCCATGAGCGCTCCTTGAATGGAGTCCCGATGAATGCACCAGGACGTCATTCGGAAACGGTAGGTCAAAGGGTTGCAGCTCAGAGGCAACCGTCGGAGAATGTGGTCGGAAAAGACGCGACGTTCCGGGTGGCGCGGGAGACGAGAAACGCCCCCTTTCGAAGTCTACATGCTCTGGTAAGAATGGCGACATTCGACGACGTTAGCTTCGGAAACCCAGGCCTGCCGCTGCTCCGCGTACTGGGCGGTTACGCTGAGAGGACCGTTGTGCAGTCAATGATACGTTGTTGGGCCCAGATTATATTCGCCTCGAATCCGCCACGTGATCTCTCCAACGGAAAATACGAGCTCTCCCGTTCGGGTCGATATCGTTTGCCGAGCGGAAGAACCTAAAGATCCGGACGCGCCCATGGATTTTGGGTCTCAACCAATGAGCGGTCCGCGAACGCGGCCGACGGCGACATAGGCAGCTCTATGGCCTCGCATTTGGTCAGCTGTCGCGAATGGGTGAGGTGAAGCTGTTCGGAACGAGTTCAGGGATGAATTGACGAGGGAAAACGAGATGGTATATATAAGTGTATCGTGGGTCTAGGCATTGGAATAGGCGGCCCGCGGCAAGCTTCCTGAACACGGGCTATTTATAGGTTAGCGGCGGCCCGCTGCGACCGAGAGAGAGACGGGGGTGGAGTGTTTGGTACAATGGTAATTGTACTCTAGGGATCCCGGAGAAACCGAAAACAGAGCTGTCCTCGTAACTAGGACCGAGTTGTCGTCTTCCTTAAGTAATTCGTCCGTGGAAACGCCGCAGTTCATCCATACTGTCTGGTCTTTGTTCCGACGACGTCGACGACGTCCTCGTCATCGCTCACTCCTCTGCCTTGCTTGGCCCGGTCGTTCTCTCGGTTGGTTTGGTATGCCTCCGGCGTTCGACTCCGAGACGAGTCGCGTTTCTTGACCGGGCTTTGTCTGCAGGATATTTACATCGCGATATACACGACTCGAAGTCGGCGGCGGTGGCGTTTGTTTTTCCTCATTACGTCCCCCTGCTTCCGCCATCGCCGTCGATTCCGCGGCGGCAGCGTCGTTTGTGCGGCATCGCAGCTGCACAGCAGCGAGCGAAATAGGGAAATTGCGCGGGCAAGTGCAACAATGACTGCTTCGGGGAAGTTTGCCGCCGCCAATGAGCTCCGCGACGTCCCGGGGAATTTCGCGGCCATAACTTGTGTGTTCGATGAGCTCCTTGTTCGATGGAGAACAATGACGATCTCCAGCTCGTGTGATCGGCCGTGTGTTTACGTGTTTTTCGTCGTCTCGGCCGCCATACCTTAGAACTATGTAGGCTAGGAATAAGTTACGACACCATCGTCGACGACGCTGCTCTAGCAGAAGCTACGGGAATCTACGTAATTCCGTTGCCGCAATGCGGTGAACAGTGCTTATGATTGAGGTTGGGTAAAGCGTGAGTCCAGGCCCAGCCGTGACCACCCTCGGGACCTGCAGTGGCGCCCCCCCAGCGTACCCGGCTGGACAGATCCGCCTCCCGCCGCCAGCTTACAAATCCGCACCAAAAGAGCCTGGTGACTCTATATCGGTGGAGGCAGCGGCAAGAGCACCACGACCACCACGCGCCGAAGCGATGAAGTCGTTCTTGCTCGAAGCTCGCCCGTCCAGTGCTGGTGCCGAGTGACAGAGTCTTCTGGATCCCGGCGTGACGGAGGAGATTCCGTTTTTTTTTGAATGCGCATCTTGAATGTCGAGGCCTCGGGAGGCCCCTCCAGCGAGTTGTTGCAGCAGCAGAAGAAGAAGCAGCAGCAGCGACAGAAGCAGGTTTTCGGTGGCGGCAGCCTGCAACACTCTTGAGTGATCCAAAGTGGCTGACTGTCCTTCCGACTGACTGGTTCATTCGGTTCGCAACAGCCCATTCAAATACGCATCCACTAACAAGGTAAGCACTCGTTACACGTCCCGCTTCAACATCGGTGGACTTCAGTCCAGTGCATGCGATCTAGAGCCTGACTTCTCCCTCAATCAACGTAATCCAAGCCTGCGTAGCGTGATTAGTCCGGATTCGAGATCGTCTTCTCTGCGTCGTCGGAGTTCTCTTCGCACGCGGAAGACCTGGATTTCTCTCTTTGTCCTTGTCTTGTGTCAAGTAGGGAAGCGAGGAAGGAGTTCGCTAGAAGACGATGAGATCGCTCCTCGTCTACCCGTTTCCTCGGGCTTGTCTGGCGGTGTTCTCCTCTGCTCTCTCACTCCCGCTGCAGAAGACGAGAATTGCGCGCTGCTTTGCTGTGGTTTGCTTTTTCTCACTGCTCCAATTGAAGCACCCGACGAGAACGGTGCACCCGTCGGGATGCTCAGAGTGGATCGAGCTTGCAGAAATCTCACGGATGTTGGAAGAGTCGGGAATGGGTGAGTCATCGGTTTTTCCGGATGGCGGCGACGGCAACGCCGATAGCAGCGTCGAAATAAGTTCCCCCGGAAGGCGCGGAGAGAGGAAGAGGAGGATCTAAATTTAGTTCTCGCACTGCCGTTGAACGGTCCTGCTATTTCATCTCCTTCTGTTTGCTTTCCTGTATGCACACTCGTTTCTGTTTATCTTGAATGCTGTGCATGAGACGTAGTTTCTAATTATTGCCTCCGTCCAATTAGAGAAGCGAGGCGCTTCGAAAGCGGAAGGCTCCGGGGGAGGAAGGCTGCGACGGGAAAAAAGGGAAGACGTTGCCGCCCTGGAGTAACAATCGCTGATTGCTTCGCGAAGAAAGAAGCGCGGAATTCCCGCGAACGACGATTGTTGCTCCAGCAGAAGCTTTCACGGATTCAGCTCCAAAGTGACTCGGCTGACACCCCTAGAAACACAGTCACACACTCAACCGGTACGGAGACGGATTGAGTTCTTCGCTCGAGCACAGCGAATCTCGCTAACCTTCCCGTAATGATGTCGGTATACTTCGTGACTAGGACCTGTCAGTTGTAAAGGCCAAGGCCCTCGGGCGACCCCGTGCCCCGGGCCTCCGCCTGTGTGTCTGGCGGCCTGCCTGTCTGCGTACCTACCCGCCAGCCTGGCTGCCAATCCTATCTGTCGGCCTGCATGGCACAACCCTCCTGACCACATTTTACATATTAGAACGCAGGGCACATCCACCACGAGATCGGCATCGCGAGTTGATATTTTCAGCATCGTGGCCGTCGATGGTGTCGTTGAGCACAGGAGCTTCCATATTCCTCGATTTTCCCGTCCCCTGAATGCTTGGCCGTAGCGTAATTTCCTGTTGCACCCGAAAAACTTCGGCATGCGGCTGAAGTCCATGCCTTGATTGGAGTGAAAAGTTTCTCGAACGATCCTTGAGGATCCTGATTCACAAACTGATTCCAGGGGCCTTCACTAAGATTTTCCTCTTTCAGAAATCGCATAGGAGTCGCAGGGAGCTGCGCGAAGCTGGAACGTAGAGTCGATTATAGCCATCGTTCCACCTAGGGAGAACTACCGTACCACATCAGTTGTAGTGAAGTGTAACTGTTGGTTGCCAACGTTAGTTGATCATCGGACAACAACCTGTCATCAGGATCAACAGGATGGGCTGCCAACAGACGAAAATACGCGAACTCAGCGAAGAGGACATAGATTTCCTCAAGACCCACACAAAGTACGACGAACAGACGATCCGTGAATGGTACGAGGGTTTCAAGATAGACTGTCCGAACGGCAAGCTGTCTCGCAAAAAGTTCATCGACATCTACAGGACGTTCTTCCCCACCGGAAACCCCGAAAAGTTCTGCGATCATGTGTTCAGGACTTTTGACACCGATAATTCAGGACATATAGATTTCAAAGAGTTTCTAATGGCGATCGGCATCACGGCGTCCAACTCAGGAGAAGAACGTCTTAAGTGGGCGTTCAGAATGTACGACATCAACAACGACGGCGGCATCGAAATCGCCGAAATGACAAAGATCGTCAAGGTGAGTGCTGTCCCGTCTCTTTGTGGTCGCTTCTAGGAACAGTCTGAACTCGCAGTGCATATTCGAGATGTCGTCGTTCCACGGATCCTCTGTCGCGCGTCATTTCTGTCTCTCGGCCAATATCCTAAATGGATCCGTCGACAGGGATCGAGACAGACTAGACCGCGAGGGATAAGGCGAAAACACCATCATCTAAGCCGGAACTATCCCTTCCAGGCACTGTACGATATGCTCGGTCCCGGGACGTCGGATGAGTCCCCTGAGGAGAGAACTAAGGAGATATTCCTCAAAATGGACCAAGATGGTGATGGCACCCTCACGATGAAGGAATTCGTCGAGGGCTGTCTCCACGATAAGAAACTGGCAGCCCTACTCACAGCCAATAACGGCATGTAGTTGGCTTGCCTTCGGCACTCCGTCCGAGTCTGAGGTCTTCTAATCCGGTCGATTGGACGACTCGTCAGCAGAGGAGACTCGATGACTGAATGACTGCCCACTTACCTAACTACCTACCTACCTACCCACTTAAGTAGACGCCTGTCTGTCTGGGTATCCGATCGCTCAAACGCCCGCTCATTGTCAGCTTGCCTGGTAGGTGTAGCCGGCAATGCGAGCGACCAGTGGACATTATGCGGGCGGACACGTTGCAGACGGACGGCAAGCCATATCCTTCAGAGGAACACGGAGGAAGTCGGTCGACAAGTTTGGTGACACTTCACCGGCACTCTGGTCGAGTCCACATCCACGTCCCACATTTTAGCTCTACTAAATCAAGCAACCGACCGACCGAGCAGCAAATCAACTTACCTTCCTGCTCTTGGATTAACGTGCCGAAGACAAATAATAAGAAGACCGTCCAGCCGCCTAGCGGTACCGAACCGAGAGAATTGAATAGCCGTCGGACACCACTCGGAGCTGGAACACCTCCGTGATTTGTTTGTACAAAACAGCAATCTCTTCGAGTCGCCGATGATTGCCACACTAGACGTCCACAGTTCAAGGCAGCTTTTATATACGTCTACGAGAGGCAGAGAGAACCTATGCCATGACGCTATCTCCCTCAGATATTCCACAAACTACGGTGACGGTCTGAAGAAGGAACAGTGAATCGATGTTGTTCAGTTGCATCATAATAATGAATAAAACCCCGTATACACCCGAGGCCCGTATTCGTTGTGAATCCAATCCGTAAGCCAACGAGAAAGCGGCCGATTAACGTCGTCGTCGCATCGTTCCCGCGCGTCGTCCCTGCCGCACGTAATTCTCGTTATTGGCTCCCATCGGCCTGTATGCCCATAGAACACATGGATTGATACGCGTAGCTCCGACACAGTACGTTGGGAGTAGGCGATACGTGCCGTCATCGCCACGAGAAAACTCCTGAACAGACTCCCGATACAGCGGCTGAGCCGCCGCTCTGTTCCCCCAATGGCCCAATGACATTTCGCCAGCAGCAGCTTTTGCAATGCAGCCCAGAGCCAACACGATGGGTCGGCCCGCGCTGCAAGTAGGCAAGAGGCACGTAGCTCGTCGTACAGGACCCAGGGGAGATGTCCTGGCTCCGAGCAATGCCGGGCTTCGTTTAACTGAAATATTTCGCTCGCAATGCAGCAGGAACGAATTCGTCTTTTCCCTCTCTCCCTCGCTCCAAGTCGATATATCAACCGCCTTGGTGAGTTCAGAATTCGATAACGCGCTCCCTCCCGGAATAAAGTCGGTCACGGAGCTTGTGACGCGCGCGAACGTCGAACTCGGCCGAGCTGAGTTGCGATCCTAATATGCGATGGATTACTCCCACACACCGCGATGCGTGTTACGTATTCCGATTACGGCAATCAAATCTACGATAGTGACGGTCTCTGGGATGCCGCGCCGATGAGACGTTACTACACAACTGATTCATAAAAGCCGCGTCGATCCATAATTACGCTGGAGGCGGCGAGCACGCCGTCTGCGTCGATTATTACCAAGATGATGATGTGAATTCGACGATCCATCGTACTCCGTCAAAGTGCGTCGACGGTAGTTTCGCGGAGCATTGAACATGTTCCATCAGGAGAATGCGTCCCGATGGAAGGGTCTCGAGCTGATCCTTCTTCGGATACCTCCAAGTCGCTGTCGGGGAACGCGACGACACGTTAAGCTTTCGCTGTCCGTCTCCGTCCAGAGAGAACGACGGTAATTAAACCTGACTGACCTCTTCGACTAGGGGCTCTCCAAAGATGGAGTGAACATGAACCACTTGTGACTCGGGAACTAAACTCGATTGCGCGGACATGGGGCTCGTCGACGAAATCGCTCCCTGAGGCGAAGACACAGGGCTCCCGGTTTTGCTCTTCGGTTTCGCTGGTCGTCGAGTGCGCGCTCCGACACGAAAGTTTCGAGTTGTCCTCCTTGCCGGAACCTCTGATTGAATCGCTACACTCGATGTATTGGACAACAGCTTCTTGTACCCGTCTCGTCCTCGAAGCGTTCCCCGAAACTTCCCCATGTCCTCATTCTGTTGTCACATCCGACGCAGTAATGTGTTAGTTGGACTCCGACTCTTGCGATTCGTATGTTTGCCCTTCCCAAAGAAGGGACAGCCTCGCCAGCAAAGCCTTGGCTCGACTGGTCGCCCGACAGACAGGCAGGCAGGCAGGCAGGCCGGCCGGCGACGAGGTTAAGCTAATATTGGCAAGAAAGTTTCACTAACTCGTTCAACGTTTGCAGGTCCCCTAAACTGCTGCTATGTGGACCCGGCGGCGCAGCTGAGGGCCCTTGGGGGCCCTGCCACTCAACGAAAGGTGCTAATTCGGATAAGTGTTTAGAAGAAGCAGCGGACGAGGAAGAAACGGCCGAAAAAAGAAGAAGCAGACCGATCTGGCTGAATCAATTGAGCGAAGGCGACGAACGCGTTTGAACAGATCGACTCGATTGAGAGAAACCGGCAGCGACTAACCCCCGACTGTCGCGAACACATATTGTATTCGAATCATCGCGATTGGAAATCGCGCGGAAATCCGAAACGGAACACTGGAGCACGATTTCGGTGCCGGTCCGTACTTCAGTTCTCTATTGTTGTTCGCCTTGGCGTCGTTGTCGCGCCTGCGTTTGTGCTACACCCCCCATCCCGCCACCGTCTGATTCATCGGCCGAATCCGACCTTTGACTTCTACTGCGTGGATTCTTCGACGATCCACGTCCGGCACCATCCCTCGGATCGAATCACCGTCGTCTTCCCTGAGAAGATTCAAACCTGCGATAGCCCCTCCCCCCGCGATCGGAAAATTCGCCGCTCTGAGCGGTGGAATCGCTGCAGCTCCCTCGCTTCAAAATCATCATTTGCTTGCTGCGCTATCATCGCTCAGCCGAAGACATCGTTGCGTCGGGACGTCGTTCATGTGAATCGCTTGCGTGGCCACGGAAAAAACGTGTTTGTCCACGTGATGCGTCCCCGGATCGCCGATAGCCGCATATAGTGGCCTACAACAACCCGGTAGGAGTCAGTTCCGGCCGATTGAAGCGCGCCCCTACCCGAGAGAGCGATCCAGCGCCTGTCCGGGTAGTCGAGGGTTCAGTTGGCTCGAAGCTCAGGCCAAAAAACAGACGACCGATTCCGATTGTTATTCGAACCACCGAAAGCGTGGGTGTGCCCTAGTTTGTGACTTGTTGTTGCTCTTACTCTGTTTGTGTCGTTCATCACATTGGCGTTGGAAGCATCATCATCGTATTCATATGAGTCGTTACCCCGGCTCCTCATCATAAAAACGTTTTCATCCGTATTCTTTCAAATCAACCCAACTGTCGCCGAACAGCCTCTAAGGTGAGTTCGTTTGCTCGTAGGTTCATTCACTTGATACGTTTGTTTCAATCCTTGCATGATCTCCCCACGGACGCCAGAGGCAGGTAGACGGAATTACTTGTGGAATCTAGAGAGATATTCCTCGAGGGCCCCGACGATGAAGAGCTCGGGGGGAAGGGGGAGGGGCTGCCGCTGGGGTGAAAGAGGCAGGGCTCCGGGGAAAGGGGAGAGGGGCAGGAGCGTTCTGGGTCTCGGAGGAACTCAGACTACACTTTCTCCCTCAGGCACGGGAGAGGAGGCAGTGGGATAGGTTCTGCTTAAAGGAGGCCGTCCAAGCAGATGCTCTCGGCGCAGGGGAAAAAACAGGGTCCCTAGCCGGAGAGAGACGATGTTCTCGGTTTGCTAAGCTGCTTACACTCCGGTCTCTCAGTCAGTCTCTCGTCGATAGAAGATAACGGGAGAAATGGGAAAAAAGGGACTGCAAGACCTGGGAGAATGAGAACGAAGCAGGCAGTGCCGACGGCTAGAGAGAGGAAGCAGAAGTCAGCGGTGACTCACGGAGGACTCGTCTAGGAGAGAGTAGACCACGGCCGTTCCTACGTTCGATTGCTCTTCCGGGAGCAGATAGGGATGGGACGCTCCCTCCAATCATTTCGCCGAACAATTTTTCTGCTGCTTCTTTCCTCCCCTCGGCGTCTCTCGAACTTGACACAGCTGTCGGAGACGGCATTTCAGATCAGGAACAACCGTTCCGATGCTTGAACGACGCTGCGTTCGATGACCTTGTCCTAACAGCGGGAAGCTACGAGTTGTTCGTCGGATCTGTGGATGGGTTGTTAGATATGGAGCAGAATTGATGTAGTTTCGATGTTCACGGAGACAACGTTGACAATGTACATAGATCTCGCCGTTACCGCCACCCGACTGGGCCGAGTTTGGGAAGAAGCTTCCACCGCGATTCGTCCGTACGCTGCTCACGTGGAGGAGTTTTGCTTGCGTGGCGGTTGCGATTATTACTGGCGTTTATATTCGTCGTCGTCGTCATCGGTGTAAATTCCAAAAACGTCGAAACAATTTCAAAGCTCCGTCGCCTGGGAGCTTCAAAAGTGCATTGGGCTCCCCAATCCCTCACTGCGTGTTTCGTGGAGTACACCTGGAGTATCAATCGCCGCCGTGGCGGCGGCGGCCATAGCTGCAAGATTTGACCTTTGGCCCCGCAAAGGATCACGTCACAATGTATCTGGCGGGCATAGGACGGCGCTATGCGGTAGTGACCTTACCGTGCGGGCTCCGCCAGTCCAATCTGCGTTCTCTCTCCTCCCTTCAGTCTATTCCTATCACTGATGACGATCGGAGCTGAAGCTCGACGTAATTAACGAGCATCGAGAGCGTGAACGAAATACTTTGAGCGGAATCGCTCCGAGATTACCGATCAGATTTCACGGGACGAATAAAGATCCGCGGCGTGTCCGATAAATGCATGAGCGAGTCATCGCCTACGAGCTCAGCGGCGAGTTTCCACGGAGCGATCATGGGCGGGATGTAGTCTACATCGCACACGGACAAATCGTCGTTTTATTGCTGCGATCTCAGAGCCCTTCCCAGGCGCATTTATTTGATGTCGACGGGTCGCTCCGAGAGTCGCTCTGGAGCTTTCTCGAGAAAGACCCAAAGCTCAGCCCCGGAAGCGTCGAGCCAAATCCTGGTCGGGGACTCGAATGCCCTCGGGATCAGCTCGGTATAAATTCCAAATCCTTCCGCTCAACGACATTATCATGCGGATCCCAAGAACTCTTCCACCGGCCTTGTCTCTCGACCTCTTCAATCTTTAATTGAGTCCTCATTGAGACGCAGCACCGAGGCACTCCTTGGGGGTGACTGCCCCGAACTTGAGATTCTCTCGGAATCTTCGGTCCCTGCGGGAGTTCATAGGTCCATCCCACCAGGCAAAAGGCTTCCTCGAACGGGTATCCTCCTCATTGAAAAACTCAATCGCCGTGTTGCGGAGTCGAAATAATGGAACGGGGAACTCAATTCGAAGAGTATTCTCCACTCACAGAAAAAGCCGAGGGCGGCCAAGTTCTGCGGACCCGAGGCGTCGGCTCGCGATATACTGGCGGCCGCCTAATTCTCGGGCATTTACACTCGTCGGCTCCCGCCTTCAACATGCACGTTGGGACCCGTTCGGAACATTCTTTAGGCCTCTCAAACGAACGGATTCAATAATTGGGTAAATTCGGTTCGCGTCCTCATTGATAGAAGATCAAATCCTTGGTGACGATCGACCATATGGATTTGTCCGCAGCGTTACTCGTGCCTCAATTCGCGACCGTCTCTGGTCCGAGAGCACTTTCCCGCTGGTGAGATCATTGATCAAGAACTGGGGATCTGATTCAATTTGGGAACGTTCTCTACCCAAGCGGCTTTCTGGGCGAAACTCTCAGAAGAGGGTCATGTTCAGCCAGCCGGTCAGACGGTCGTCCAACCGACGAATTGCTAATACAAATGAGCTGTTCATACGACTCCGCTCTTCTCCCTTGAGAGATCGACAACGATTGGGGTGATATTGGAGGTCCGTCGATTCGCTTGACTGACCGCCTGTCCGTCTTCCAAGTCCGTTCCTCCGACGGATCACTCCTCCCAATCCCTATCTGTGTCTTCGCGAAGGTCGTAAGAGAGCTGACGTCGTCTCCGACCGCTGCGAATTCGATTGCTCCATCAAGTGCCACGAATTAGCGGAGGCGCAGATTGTACGAATTGTTTCTCGGTCTGTTCCCGGAGGCGAGCGCGATACACGATAATTCCCAAACGACCGAGGAGGGTCTTTAGCTTCCGCGCGAGAGCAATGCTCGGAGCGAATTTCGGTGTGAGAAATGAAGAAAAGTCTTCCCGTCTCTCATCGACTCCTCATCCTTATAAGCAAGAGAATACACTGCTTTGTACTCGGACGAACACTTCTGAATGGGAGCAGCATTCCTCGGTCGCTCTTCCGCGGGGGGGAGTTCCCCCGGTGTCACCAGTACTCGAACCATGGACTCTGCAAACGCCAATATCACACGTCAATACCCATCCGAATATAATTCTTCCACCGCCGTGAACTCCTAGATGATCCTCCCAGAGGAGCAGATCATTTCATTCGGAATCGGGGAGCGGCTCACTCAGCGGGAGTGAGTCGCGGGAAAAATCAACGGACAGTAAAATTGACTCTCCTTCCTTTACTCCTCAGCCTACTGCGATTTCCTTGGTGACATCCTGAAAATCAGCGTTTGGAGACTACGTGCACTGATAGAACGAAACGTAGCCCGGATAACCGAAAGCATCTCTGTCCGCCCCCATTGGGATACCGGATATCGGTCCTGAGATCATTCATACATTCAGATTGGGAGAAGTCAACCGGAACAGCGAAACTCCGCAATCTTCTTCGGAAATTCAGAAGTTCGAAAAGAAAGAAGATGGGCAAACACAACAGCAAGTTGAAGCCCGAGGTGCTTGAGGATCTCCGACAGAACACGGAGTTTACAGATGCAGAAATTCAGGTTGGTGGAATACAGTTCGCCATTAACTCCGAGACCTCTCGATACAGCGTAGGCATAGCTAGTCTGGGAATGAGTATGTAGTCGCCAATCGCATGAAAAACTATTGATCAGTAGGGTAACGACGTCGTGGGTGCTAATCCGCCGTGTAGGTATTAGGTTTATGAGCCGGTCCAGGCGTCCTCCCTCCGTCCGTTCGAAGGTTTTTGATGCTTTGCGGCATGCAGATATGGGAAACTCTTGTTCATACACTCTGTCAAGTGCGAGCGGAGACGCTTGGAGGGGCTCCCATGCTTCTGAGTTTCCACTGGCCAGGATCGCTTGTCGTATCCCGCGGGAAAATGGCTGGGTAGCGGCGAGAAAAGTTTGACAGATTCATGGAATTTCGGAAACTTTCTGTCGATCATCGGCTTTTTTCCCCTGACGCTTACGCAACGGGATTCTTGGAACCTCCCTCTCCTCCAATGGGGAGTGCCGCCGGGGGCTTTTTCAGTTTCTCCCTTTCCTCACACACGAGGAAAGGACGATGAGCGTACCTATAGCCCGCAAGCGTCTGATGCGGGATCGAGCTCCGACCTTGCATAGAGCCCGACATCGATCCCCCAACCCTCTCCCTGCAGTCGTTCACGAAGGAAAAATCTGTAAAATGGCGGTTTTAGTCTGTTATCGACCCCTGTCGACTTCGTTCAGCGTAGCGGCGATCCTCGAGAAGAAGGGCTCAGCATCCAATTTCCACCGGTCACGCTTCCACCGAAGTGTTCACTGAACAATTCGAGCGACGACTGCTTCCTACGAGGCACGCGGCGTCTAGCGGAGATGCAACTGTTCTATTATACTCTTCGCGCTCGTATGGATTCGTTTTCACTCCCGAAATCACGGAACAAAAGTTCACAGCTGGGAGAGGGTTCGGGTTCGCTCTGCTCAGTGGGTCCGCGAGATCTCGGATTACAACGGGAATAAACAAAACGCTTCCCCATTATCCTTTTCGGAACGAAGCGAACTTTGTCGATTCGGTGGAAACGTCATGCGGATCGCGATTCCATTCCAGTCGATTTTCTCTATGATGGTGGAAGCTTCGCGAACTCGGAATTCCTCTCTCCTCGTCCCGAGCCCTCTCGCGAGGGAACATATATCAAAGTTTTGGGAAAGCTGACGTTTTCCAATTTCATGGAGAGAAAGGAGTGACGCGACGTAGACAGCAGAGTTTCCCCCTAGAATTGTGCAGCACCGAAGCGGATTTACCATGCAGCCCTACTTCCCTGCTTCGTTTCTATTCCTGTAGCGATGGGATTCAAGCTCCCCACTCTTATGATACAAACATAGACTCTTGTCCTCAGTGACTGACGCGACAGTTATCCTTTCAAGAGTCTGTTGGCGCCTGCATGTATGTATGCATGTATGTATGTATGTACATTCCGCTCTGGCACGCTTGAGCTCGAGAGTTGAGCACCACGCTCTCAAAAATTCATGACTTCCACTTAGAGAAGACGACAAAGGTAAGCAAGAAGCGTGAATGGCAAGAAGCTCGGTGCCATAATTACTCATCAGACAGTCTCACAGGCTGTTGTTGACTCTTTGTCACCGGCGGAGTTTTGAGACTCCGTCAGACAAGTGTCCACTCGTCGGATGTGCGCCCCCAGGGAGCTAATCTTGAAGTCTCATCGATAGCACCTATGCGTTGGAATCGCGATGAAGCAGAAGATTGCGGGAGGGTTGTCCAGTGGCCTGATACCATGACCTGATATATTTTTTTCTATTTCCCTTCCAGGAATGGTATAAAGGATTCCTGAAGGATTGCCCCTCTGGTCACTTGTCGATCGAAGAGTTTAAAAAGATCTATGGCAACTTTTTCCCTTACGGAGATGCGTCCAAGTTTGCGGAACACGTCTTTCGGACGTTCGATGCAAACGGCGATGGCTCGATTGACTTCCGAGAGTTTCTATGCGCTCTCTCGGTAACATCAAGGGGCAAGCTCGAGCAGAAGCTTAGATGGGCCTTTTCCATGTACGATTTGGACGGCAATGGTTACATCTCGCATCAAGAAATGCTTGAAATCGTCACCGTAAGTAGTCATACGCGGATCAGAACTAACTCGACACGAACTAGGGTCAAATACTGGGCCGATTCAAGGCTCCAAATTCACCGAACGCATTTCGATATTACAGGCTATTTACAAAATGGTGGGCTCCGTGATGAAGATGCCGGAAGACGAGTCCACCCCAGAGAAACGAACCGACAAAATTTTCCGGCAAATGGACAAAAACCAAGACGGCAGACTATCTCTCGAGGAGTTCATAGAGGGGGCAAAGAGCGACCCCTCCATAGTGAGGCTGCTACAGTACGACCCAGGCTCGCACTGAAAGCCCTCGTACGTCCTCGTACCACCGATGCTCAAACGGCACGCTCTAGCGTCTGTCTTTACGGGTTCACTAGCCTAAAGCACCAGCTATGAAAAAGAAGACTCTTATCGAGGAGGAGACGGCGGCGGCGGCAGCGAACACCGTAATTGCGGTTTCGATTTCGATAACGTTCCTGGCTGACATTGGTCCGATAGCCGGAAACGATTGCTTTTGGCTTGCCGGAGACTTAGAACCTCTAACCTGCAGAAAGGTCTCCGCGCACCGTGCAAGACGTGCAATGCGTGCAGGTTTTCAATGTGCGAGCCGACACAGCCCACTATGGTGAGCAACTGTCGGTGTATCTATTGTACACGCAACGCTGGGCGTTGCCACCCGCCAGCGGGTTGCACCTTTAGCCTCGAAAGCTTATTGCGGTGATGTGTAAAGATGGTAAACTCCATCGCTGTCCCTAAATCAGTACAGAGTCTTCTCCCAAGACCTTTCCAACAAGTCTTCTATATATCTACCATTCCGAGGATTTCCCTCTCCTGACGTTCCTCTATCCGTCGGCGTTTTTCGAAGAAAGTATTATTGAATGAATTCCATTACTTCTTACCTCCATGGGTGCACTATGGGAACGCATCGTTTCCCTATGGTTCAATCAGAGCATGCGCTCGAAGGCGCGTTCTCTGAAATGCATAACGTTCTCCGGCTGCAAACTCCAGAGGACATCTATGAGCGATCGTTTCGAATCCAAAAAAGAGAAAACAAGGTACGCTCTTTGAGCGAGAGTCAACGAGAAAGTGAATCCTGAATTTTCGCCCCCCACAAATATCACTTCGAGGAGAGGAATAGGAGAACCGGAAAGAAGCGACGACGGCCTCTCCAAGTACTGCTTGGGTTCGTTTCTTACGGCAAGTCACGGTGGGTGAGTTCCGTCGTCGCTTCCCCGACGGTGACTTCGAATATGCAAACTGGCCTGAAAGTGTATCAGATTACCATTGCGAGTAGATATTCTTAGTTCCCGAGCGGAGCGAGCGCCTTTGAGCGGTCCTTGTCCTGATTTTCCTCAATCCGGATCCGAACGCCATTTATCATTCCCGAGGCCGGGCTATCTCTGCTATGATAATTTTTCCCAGCAGACAAAGGAATTGTAAAGAATGATCGACATTGATGGATTTTTAACTTGACTTCCGTAGAATAACGCGGTGGAGGTGTATCGAACCTCGAACTGCCAATGCCTCACTGGAAGGAAGAATCGAGCGGCGGAATCATTTCCAAGGAATAATTCCCGCTTGCGGTCGGCTGTTGAGTTGGAGACAATCAAGAAATGTCTTCCGCAATAACGTCGTGGAATGAACGACGATGAAACAGCCGAGCGAATCCTATTCCGTTTTCAGGGGCGCTCTCGTTCGTCGTTTAGTAGGCTTCCGGATTATCGATTGTAAATTGTATTCTCTTTTTAACTTTTTGAGATGACGTCATCGACGTATTTGAGGTTCGGGAATGAAGATGAAATGAAAACGAAGAAAACCGTGAGACCAATAAGCGGGTCACAGTGAGATGCCCAAGGCCCCAACATTACCCAACGACGATCTCCTGTCTGAACTCTAACTGCCGATCTCGGTTTCTTGCCCATTCCGATAATTATCATGATTATCGATCGATGTATAGAGGGCGGTCCTCAATCAAAAGAAATTCTCGTGGACCGCGACCCTTCTTAATAGTTCACCGGCAGTATTCTAGTGCTATGTATTATTATTATTATTATTATCACCATCTCCAGGTATTCCTGGCCTTTGCGTCTACCCGAAACTGTCTGTTCAGTGGAAATCCTCCGACTTAAACCGAGTGTTTGTTTGTTACTCCTGAACACTTACGAACCAATCTGAGTGCGAATCAACATCTCGTAGCCCATTCAAATCAACATCAAACACCTCACTAATCTGGACTCCTCTCGCGAGCTTGATGACACAACCAAGAATGAATGATTGGAGAAGAACAAACGTATCGTATGCGATCCATGCGACAGGAATTTGACTTGTAGAGGGGAATCTAACGGTGAAACATTCGAAAAGTGTAGGAGATGAAAATTCCAGTTATCTAATAGACTTTGTGATAGACCTTCGATGACTGGCAAATGGGAATGCGAATGAGGTGGGAATGTGTTGGAAGGTTCATCGCTCCGCCTGTCGGAGCTCTCCACCGCAAGATGATTTCATTCGCGCGGCAGGACTCATACAGACTCGACAGACTTTTACGTCGCGAGTTATGAAATGAGTGAACCCTCAGCTGTTGGGAAAAACGAACGTTCGCCATCGGTTCGATATCTCCTCATGGAGTATCGTTGTTTCATCATCCCTGACTCGCTGATTTTCATCTAGGATTCTCTCATGTCGTCCCTTGAACGGTGAATATCAATTATTCGATCGATGATGTCAATGCGAGAGTGTCAAAAACGTTGCGAGGACAAGGCCCTTGATCAATGGGCGGATTGTTTGTACGCGTTTATCAGACGCTAGCCGCAGAAGATTGTCTCGAAGGAAGTTCGTTGATGAGAGCGAAGCGCTTCGGAAGTACGAAAAATGGGAATCAATGTCCCGGAAAACTCGACAAGAGTTCGACAGTTGAAAGGGTAAGACAGCAGTGATCATAGGATTATAGAATTCGCTTCACATGGAGTAAACATTCATGAGTACATTGGGACACTGATCCATCCGATATACTGGATATGAAGAGAGGAACATACATCCAACAAAGCATATATTCATGATGCATGGATTCATAGCGTTGGAATTGCTCTACATGATTGTTATATTATGTTGTTAGCTCGCGAGGGAAGGAGTGTTGCGGACTTTGCAAGAAGGAGTGAGGTCGAAATCATTTTCCACCGATAATTCGATCGCAATTAGCGCTGCGTCTTGAAACGCTCCCGGAGCGTTCGGAATCAATCCAACTCATAGAGATATCTTATCCGATTTCTGACTGTGATTCAGTGCTCGTCACCTTGAACTTTGATCCTCCAAGCACTCCCATCTAGGGTATGAAAATTCTCATCTCCCTGAGGAAATTAGAATGAGGTCACGCGCTAGGAATGATCTATATGAGGTGATGTCACCATGAAGCGGCACAGAATGTGTTCTGTTGAATACTCTATGAGGTGCGTATCGAGAACTGGGACATCGGAAGTGGCCTTTTTCTCGGGCAATGAAGGAGTTCCCGGATGTTATTTTCAACCTCTTCCCCGCACCACCGGAATCACCTCCTCAACATGATCTGTGACATCGTTCACAGCATCGGCTACTACAGCTCAAACTCCTCGTCCGACTTCCAATACTGCTGCTCCTCCAACTCCTCATCCTACTACAATCTAACTCTTTCTCCTACCCGTTAGAACGACTCATTCTTCTTCTTCTTCTCCTCCTATAACAGCTACTCCTACGTCTATTTGTACGTTTGTTGAAAATCACTCCTGTTATTCCCGAAGCGGAATCTGTGGCGGAAACGACGCGGGTTGGGTGCACTGTTGCAAAATTGAAAGTTTTGCATCTTAGCGCGCGTTCGCTTCTCCCGTCCTCCTACTATCGGCCTCATCCCAGGACAGGAGTTCCTTGAGACGGAAGAAAAATAACCGCTCCCTTCAGAACAGAAGACAAACTTCGACAACTTATAAACAAACATAAACACAGACAGACTTACGACCACATTCCCCCATCAATCAAACAGACAATAAGCCAAGGATATGGATCTTTGATGAAAGGACATTGTGACTCCCAATCCGTGTAAGACGACGCGGGCGGAACAGGAAAATGCTAATGAAGCTTGAATAAAGTTGACACTGATTGCATACGTAATGCGAGCGTGTTCTCAATTTGCGAACGCCGAGGGCTAGAGGAAAATGGGAACAGGATTCGACTCCGAATCGGGCTCAGTGATCTCGTCCCAGACGCGCTGACGTCAAAACCTCCTAATGAGATGAACCGACGTTTCGCATGAGGGCTCTGAAGAACTCGAAAGGAAACCCATGTCCCCTGAAACGAGTTGAATGATTCAATGCTGTAGCCTGCCGCAGTCCTCGATTCGCTTGCAATTATTAAATAGCTGCTCAGAATTTCTCCAGGGGAAGGGTGGAAGATCGAATGAGCAGGCAAAGCTGCATATTTTTTCTCTGTGATGGTCTCTACCAGGAATTCATAACCCGACAGCGACATCAGAGAGCTGTGCGCGATCCAAAGCGTATCGGGGTTTCGATTCTTGAGCTCATCAAGCGCTTCCCATCTTGGCCGTTATCGTTCGCTTACAGGGCGAGGACAGTTCATCCATGAGATATTACGACGTAAGTCGATAGATTTGGTCTGCATCCGATTGTCTCATCCAACAGCTGGATCATCGAACATTTGGGGATTCTCCGTCGGGTCTGACCTGAAATATCGGGATCCGACGGATCTCCTGGGAGACCGTCGAGCCGGATCGGATAGACACGAGGAACTATCGGTTTGGCCCCAGCCCGGACAGTTTCACCCGCTGATCGGCGGTCCTGGTTGTCCTTCCTTTCTCCAACAGAGCCCCGCGGGATCTCCCAGCCTTCGCTTTCTGAAATCCTCTGAAGACAGTAATTTAGCATGAGAGGCTTATGCTGACGAGTAAAGGATGCCTACAGGCTTGAGGAGCTTCGCTCTACAAAATCTGGCGGCTCGAGTCGCTGGAAAACTCACACAGTTGCCGAAGTCCTCAGCTTCTGCTCTGCGCTACACTCAAGTCGATGGCTCGACGAGCGTCGAGGAGAAGAGGAGCTCGAACAGGCGCTTGGAGAATTGGAAAACTCGGAATAGACGAGGATATGGCTAACCTGTCCCGATGGTGTCAACATCGCACCGAGCTTCCTTCTAGCGAAAGCACGCGTCTATTCAAAGAGACATATCTGACTCACTAGAAAGTCGATACTTTTGCGTCACTTGGCACCTCTTTCGGGAGAAACCTCGCAACGTCGCTCGCCGCCTGAGGGAAGCTCGAAGGTTCGCCGTCAACAAATTGCCAAGCAAAGTCCATCAAACTATTCTTCAAACTAGTGCTTAAAGCTGTTCTTCTGAGATCGAGGAGAGTACTCCGTAGCTACCGTTCGTCAGGATTTGCCTCGAGGAGTCCCGAGAAATTCCTGCGAAACTCCTCGGGACGCACCGCCGCAGTAAGACGCGACTGAGGATTAGAATGATGAGACAATTCGTGAATTCGTTTATGCGCGAACGTTGATGAGGTTTATTCGATTAGATAACTTATCCCACCTGCATCTCATCCGTCATCATCATCGCTTGTTCAGGTTCCATTAGCTCAGACTTCATCGATCCTCGACAACTTAGACTGAATTCATTGATCTTGTTCGCGAATCAATCGCCGGTCATCACTTCCCTCCCATTTTTTTACAGAACTTATTTGAAGGCTCTCAGTCACCGAGCGTTCGTTGTGGTTCATTATTGATCCCTTCCACGAACATTACTACATCGAGATATAGTAATTTTCAAGACGTTGAAATGAGGGAGCCACTTCAATCGGATTGAGTTCGTGTACAGTTTGTCAATAGTTATGTATAATTGTCTGGCGGTTTGTATGTCGCTTTTTCCCTATGTAAGTTCAAGTTTATATATCCGCATCGCCGTCTGATCGCTCGGCTTCCATAGATCGTAGAGTTCATTGTTCCATTCTCAAATCGAGTCTCAAAAATACAAGAAACTAATCTAATAGATTCCACCCAGTACATTCCGCGCGCGATTCGCTACGTTGACGCTTCCTTGCTTATTGCCTCAGATATTCGCACCAACAGAATAGATATTTCCGGCACAGATAAAAATCCTCGGGGGCCAGTATCAAATATTCCGCGTTTCCTCCACGCTCGTTCGTCTATCTCAATCCGGAATACAAAAAGGTACAAACAGTTGATCGTGCTGAGCTCTGCTCCACCCCTCTTATTATCGTTCCATCGTCATAGTTATTATCATTAATTCCTTCACTTTTCTACCTATCTAGAGTCATCCTTTTCACAGCACGCGTTTTCCGCAAAGCTACTGTTCTCAATTAATAGCGTTCTCCACAACCAATGCTATGCGATAGGTCTTCCGGCTCAGCATTTCGGGGACGATATTCCGTATGCATTTTCGTTCCTGCTCTGACGTAGAGTCGGACAGATTGACACGCAGACAGGCGAACAGGCAACCTGTCCGAGAGACCCACGGACAGACAGTCAGTCGCCGTCTACCGGACGAAGGAAAATGACAGACGTAGAACCAGCCAGCCGAACACATGAAATTGAACGAGATACACCACGCCTGTCGGCGTCCAAGTCGAGCGTCTCCTCCCATTCGAATTTCCCTCGTGAACGAGAGCTGTCCTTGAGGTACTCTGGTGTGCTTCGACCTTTGCTGAATCATTGCATCTTACGAGGTTGTTCTCTACAACGCGGAATCTGCATGAAACTTTCGATGCAGAAACCGATCTTCGAATGTTGGGTAAACGTATGTTCCTCCACCTCGTCCACAAAACGAGAGCGCCGAACGCTCCTCCAAGGGGGAATGCTGTGAGATCACATATGATATGGATGCATGAATGTTCGGTCGATATTCGCATTATCGTCATTGTTATCAGTCATCATTAGTCGATTGACAACAGAAGAATCGGTGTTCGCAACCAGCGGGGGCAGTCGGCAACAGCAGCTTATTCGATAAGGCACTGAGGGGAGAGGGGACCCGGTGATTCTGAGGCCGGAAACAGGCTCCCTGGCTCCTCGTCCACAGATCCCTCCACCCCTTTTCTCTCGTTGTATAGGTAAGTCCGCCGAACACCTCAGGACGCGTTGGAAGCCGAAGATGTATCCCGCACGACGTGGTGCAAATTTCCGTGATCTTCAGGCTGCAGGGATTCGTAGACAGAGCGGAGCGCATGATCCTTTGGCAAATATTCGTCTTCTTGAATCCATACACATACGTGGGCTTTCCTCAACCTATTTCATTCCTCAGTTTCATCCCAATGCCTATATTTTACATCCACACCTCTCCCTGAGTGTGGAGATTTTCACTCCGGTTGGTTTCTCAGTGTTCGAACGCCTTTCGCCGCCACTGCCATAATAATCGTAATCATAGCATCATAATATAATAAATAAGTACGCCGTACAAAACGTGAGAGGATCAGAAACGGTCGGACTCTGAACGTTGATCGGTTTTTCCCTCATTCAGACAGCTTCTCGGACTTAGGGGAATCGCTGAAAGGACCGGAACTCCGAGCGGAACCGCCCGATCGGCGCCGGTCGTCATCTTCATCTTCCTCTCTCAGAGTGGAGATTCAACATGTGTTCAGTATAATCTACTTCCGAGGGTTGAACTAGGGCTCCGGGTATCCTAGATAAAGCTTACCACCCTCACTGGAAGATTCCTCCCCACCAAAGGCTCTTCAGGTCTGCAGCCGGAGTGTTCCCGTCAGCAGGCCACGGGTCGGAAATCCGATTGCAAGAACATAAATCAATAGGAGGGCATGAATAGAATTGGTAACAGTATTGGTAGGAGTCATGGTGGAGGGTAATAGTTGTTGTTGCTGTCGTTCTTGAAATATGCACCGGCTCAACTGGTGCTGGTAGTGTTTGTAGTAGTCGCGAAGGTGGTATCCGGTGTAAAGAGGGAGTAGTATGAAAATAGTACGCTACCGCTGTCTCGAGGGGATTTCTACCGAAGACGTCCGCATCCCGGCCGGGGGCAAACAACTATCGTTTGCTGTCTCAAGGCCCGAGCGCTCCCGTGGCCGGTCGGCTGGCCGGCTGGCAGGCAGGCGAGCTGGCTGACTTGATTTCTGACTTCAATTATTCCAACAATCCGCCTACTAGCCGGCACTCTCGTCAAACCATACGTCGGGTAAAGGGGGAATGCAACATGGAATAGAGGTCCGTTCAACCCCAGCTCTGGTCCGAATCGTAGTAATGCTCTTCCACCTCGAGAGCGTCGTCCTCGTCGATAGAGATCCCGTATGGTACCTGGTTCCTTATTGCGGCCAATTTTTCTTTTCGAGCTGCATTGTGAGCTCGAGGCATGTCTTCCGGACAGGTTCTTTCCTTGCGATGCTCGTACACCAAGGGGAATATTCGCTCGATCGATTGCTGAACGGCCGATACCGAAGGTGCTGCAAAGGGCGACATTCAACTCTTACTCAGGGGGTTTAGACGAATCTTGGGCATTCTCATTTTCCGATTTTCCGAGGGTAAAGGATTCACACTCGGGATAAAGCTGACAACGAAGTCGGACCACCGAGTTGTCGGAGCCGGTCTGCCGGCGCAAGAATGAGTGCTACATGACCAGAATCACGAACCTGTGACAGTTATGCTACCGGTAGAGAATATCTTCAACGAGGCCCTGATTTCTTTGATTTTATAAGTGACGCCCGGATGCAATTCAGGTTCATATCTGCGGGAATACAGGATGAAAGGATTTACCGTGTTCCTCGATAAGAGACTCGACAGGAGAGAGACGCTTGTTCGTATGGCCATCCTGCCAGGCTACGGATATCGTTTCCGTATTCGTGTTCTGTTTTAATTTCTCTTGAGGTGTGATAAGGAAGGAACGAGACCAGCGGTACTCACTGTGCGATTGGCTTGTTGGTCTGGGAAAAAGGAACCAATCGGATTGCAAAAGGCATTGTGCAAGTTCCAAGGACGTTGACAACTTTGAAGTTCTTAAAACGAGCCTTAAACCCCAGTTTTTGGAGCGTCCGGGCGAATCTCCGAGCAGCGATCTTCGAAGTGTTTTCGCTGAAAAAGATACGCTTTGATGCTCACGTTGCTGACACTCGGAAACGGAGAATATTTTGAACATCTCTCATGTTGCCGTGAAAGGAGTGCATCACTCGTCGAGAAAGAACACACCTTGTTGCTCCTGTACAAGTAATCTTCCCTGATGACCAAATGCTCGCCGTCGTGTATGGATTCCGGAGTTTCATCGATACCATCTGTGAGGAGGAAAACGTTATGCTGCGGATGACGCGTACACTTGATTTGGTTTATCCGACTCGCTTTAAAGGTCGCTGACCATCGAAACTTCTCAGGCATCTATGCAGCTTGATACATGACTTTGGTACTTGACACTGTGTAGAATGTGCAATTTTCTAATTCGATGTTCGAAAAAGCGAGGCGTCTTTCGTCTCCCTCGAAAGCGTCGAAAGGATTTCCCCATTAATGGGAGTGTTGGGCGAATCGTCTTCGTGACGCTCCTCAGATGTCATTCAATTCTTTCGAACATTCGAACCGCTCTATCGAAATATCCGCCAATGTCAATCATCTCATCAGAAACATAAGGAATCATCTCCGGCGAGAAGCTAAATTCCGTCACTTAAGTTTTTGATATTGTCACGCTTCAAAGCGAAACTTGGAGGACTAACGCGCGGATTTCGAGGGGAGTAAAGGGAAATTCACGCTCGAAGCTCAAGTAGGATCTCCACGAATGGCACATGTTGACGATTCCCGTCTCAACATGTCCCTGTTCAGGGGGAAGGGGGACGAAGGGACTCCCCCGATGCATACCGATGGCTTAAGGTCCGGAGGTTCTGTAGACCAGCAAATATCTGAACCGTCGAGGGCTGCGCCCTCAAGCATTGTACTCCCATACTCCGCGACATTAAGACCCGGAGATTTCGAGTAAGAGACACTCAGACGGACAAACAGACTGACTCCTTGTGTTTAGGTGCCAGTGTCAAAATGGAAGCTTTCTCTGCCGGTTCCCCCGCAAGATTCGACGATAACCCTCTCGAGGAGATATCACGAAACCATGCCTTGTTCTCGAAGATTTCGAATCGGGATTGATACGAACGAGTTGCGGCTCATTTATGGACAAACAAGCGGCGAGCACGCAAGAAGGAACACATCTAAACACAATCACACACGGTCAGACACAACGACACATAGTCGACGGGGCAGTAGTAGGCACCATCAGCAACAGAGACACGGTCTTCCTTCTCAAACATTGAATGGGTACCACTGCATAAACAAATGGTTTTTATTTTCTTTCTCTTCTCGATTGGCTGTGTCATGCCCAAGCGGATAGCGAACGGACGGCCTAGCGGATCCGCAACAGTTCTGGCGATAATAGCACCACCGTCGTCGGATGAGGACGATCTCCACATGGCGAGTGGGGCTAAACGCCCACAACTTCCTAAGACGCTCTGAAATCTCCGACAAGCAGACAATGGCACACAGGTCCAGCACCCGGACCCCGAGCAGAAGGTTCCGACGGAGGGCTTGCACGCCGACCGGAGCGGTTGGAAAACTTACCCCCGACTCTCGACGGAAAACGACGTTCGCTCCCGTGAGAGCGATCTGTCGCAGATTAAGGTGGCAGCCCACGGAGAAACTACAAACGACATTGTTGATGACAATGTCCAGCTCGTCGGGCGGAGATCCGTTGTTATCCTCTTCGACGCACTCCTCTTTGTCTTCACTGTCAAGACTCGGCAATGTGGACGGGGGCAGGATGACCGGTCTCTGCCCCACAACCCCATGCCCTCCTTGGCCTCCTCCGTTGACCAAAGTGTTGTGTACGAGACCAGCCATGATTCCCACCACCCGCCGTACGCAGGTCCCTCGTGAGTAGTCGCACAGTTCCTCCTAACGACAACGCAACAAATAATTTCTTGAAGCAAAGTTACTTCTTGGACTGCTTGGTCGTTTCGCCTGCTTCTTGCTCATACCAACCACAGCACAGGCACTGTGCTGGTGTCTGTGGCTGCTCTTTAAAACATGAGAACACACACAAGGGTTGCCAGCTTCTCGCTCATTTAGCGGTCTGCTAGAGCCTCGTCAACAACAAATCGTCGGCTGCTCGTTGTAGAAAACTCGCAGGTAGCTTTCTCCGCGAGAGATCTTTCGGAAAGCCGGCTCCGAGAAACTCACTGGGATGGGTAGCGAATAACCTGCTTTGTGAAGATCAGAACTTTGAATTATTCCCGAGACGGACCTCCGCAGAGTTTCATTGATCTCATGTCATCTGGAAACTCAGCCGGCTGCTGCGGTACCATAGTAGCTGTCACGGTAGGGAAACGTGGAAGGAGCTTTCATTCCTGGAGAAGCGATCCAGAAGACAATATCCTCTGAGTTCGCTACAATGATGGGGAAGCACATTGCGCACTTCGATCTCTAAGAGGGCACAGCGTTGACTGCGAGGGGAGACCTTTCTGCGTGTGGGTTCCTCCAGGATTCGAATTTGGCGCGCCAATCTCCCGATGTGGAGGTGATTTTCAGAAGTACATTTCTGAAAATTGACCTCATACCCGAGCTCTGAATTTATCCACAAAGTTCCTAGAATACACGAAGACAATCAGCATTTAGTTTTCCGACCCTTCCGGAGGTCTGATAACGATTGACCCGGACTGTTGCGGCATAAACAAATCGCAGGAGCTCTCATCTCTCATCGGAGTATTCCAGAGAGTAAGGAATTTCTCACCGGTGAAAATGCTGTCCACGATAAGCACGACATGTAAGCGGATGATGAGCTCAGACCAGTTCACTGGAGTCGATCCCAAAGAAATGAGTCGATCACAGCGCAACTTCGCAAAGGTACGCCGCGCGGTTAATGGGTGTTCACATGGATAGATTCATGAGTCGACCCTGAATGAGAGTATCCGAGGAGGAGTACCCTGAGCTGTCTTGCGGAGGATGTCTCATCCGCGGATGGGGAATCGAGTCGACATTATTCGCAAGGACGGCGACATGGGTACGCGAGCTCCGATTATCTCTAGAAGTGGCTTGGTGAAAACCATCACAATCGATGAAGATCGTCATCCTCGACGGTCTCTCATAGAGTTTGCTCTTCGCTGAGAGGGACGATAAGACTCCCGCCATGATGACGGATGGGCGGGACGCAGTCTGGGATTCGATTTCCTCTCTGGGTATCCAGCTTCGATATTGGTTTCGTAGATGATTCGATGATGAATTCCCGTGGACACCCGTAACCCTGGAATCTTACGATCTTCATGAAGCACTCATCATGTTTGACAGTTCAGTGATGGGACGAGCGGACAGCGCTCCAGGGCAGACTCGACATTCCTCGCTCTTCGCAATCTTCCTATATTGCATCGAACACTTTCAGAGACTGCAGACGGAGAATGCTAAACGAGCCGAGGGAGTAACCCGGATGAGATCGAGCAACACGAAGTTAGGATGGGGACTTGGATTCGCCGTCTTGCTCATCTTCGCCTACTCGATGAACCGAGTGAAGACTGAGAATTTTCTCGACGAGGATTTCGAATAAGATTTATTCTACTCGCTCGATCGCTCTGATAGTTATGAATTCCTGTGGAAAATACTGTACCCTCTAAATATAAGTCGTTGACCTTGCAGCTCTTGTTTTGTCTTCTGCTCCGCAGTCCCTATCGATCTTCAGACAGCTCCGGGAATTCAATGCACGTTTCGCCGAGGGAACAGTTCGTTAATCGTTAAATGTTCGTAGATCCTGAACTTGCGAGAGACTCCGCGGGGGACGGGGCGGAGAACGTCAAAGCTCAACGATCGCTCGAGGCAGGACTCGACGACACGGGCTCCGGGAGATGACAATCCCCAGCCGTAATCGAGAGCCGCGAAGTCGCAGCGATATGAGAGAGTACAGTGAAATCTCGTGACAACGAAAAAAGGCTGACCAAACTCTCTTTTTTTCAAACAAACTTTTTCTGCTGATTGGCTGGCTTGACATGGAGATGATATTCCAAGTTTTCCCTTAAGACTAATTCTCTTGTTAGCAAAGGAATCTACCGGCCTCGCAAGGTACGTTGCAACGAGATTCCGCTGTATACCCACGCATTCCGGCTCCGAGATAACGGCAGTCCTGAAGGGTTCTACTCCGATACCCCGATTCTCCATCCCCCGATTCTCGAACCCCCGATTTTTCGACCCGCTGATTCAGCGGGGTCGCGGAGCGCCCTCTCTAGCCACCCATCACTCATCTCGGAGACTTCTGTGAGCTACCGATTACTCTCAATCGTGGATCCATGGGTGTCTCCCACCTTTGGGAGCATCCTCATTCCACGTTTTTTATTCCTTCTACCGGTAGATCTCTCTCTCTTTGAGGTTTAGGTTTTCGTATCGTAAGTATTCCGGGGAGCTCAAAGGCTCTCAGTCTCAGGCTTGCGGAAAAAGCTTAGAGCCCACGCGGTTCACGTACTCGATCAGGGAGATCTGACCCGATTCTGGTTCATCCACGAATTTGATGAGTTTATCGTTCAGAACCTGATATTTTTTCTTCAGTCTCCCCGGAGCTTCGCCCATCTCGAGCATTGCCCTCCCCGCTCCAGAGCGAGGACAGCAGCAATTGAACGCTCGCTTATCCGTTCTCCGGAATCGTGCACGCCCCGCGATTTCCTTATTGATAGTACAGATGGAATTCTACACCTAATTCCATCGATTCTCATCTCTCGACTATCTCTGGGGCGGCCCAGGAATTCCGCTAAATTAGCGGGTCGAAAAATCGGGGGATCGAGAATTGGGGGATTGAGAATCGCGGGATTGAGAATCGGGGGATCGGGAGCATACCTCCCGAAGGATTTCCTCGAGCTAGATTTCCCGGCTTGCGGTACTCCGAGTGAACGACCGAAAACTTCATCGATAGCCTCCAATCAAGAGGACTCCCGACAAATCTCGGAATAGGCGTGCAAAAAGGGGTGAATGCATTTTCGGACTCTCCCGAAATCGGAGAATCCATCAGAAAGGCAGAGAAGCGCTGCGCAAGGGACCTCTGACTCTCCGCTCATGGATTCCGGGAGGAGGTTCTTTCTTTCTGAGCAGAACCAGGGAAGGTCACGTCAGGATCTCGGAAGCAATTCGCTCAGAAAGCCATCCTACGACATCTTCGATCGAATGAAGCACGGCATATTGTGTATGTTGGAAAATAAGAGAAGCTGTCAGAGAAGTTTGTCTCTACCTGGAGGATTGGATAGGTAGGGAAGACAGCCACCATGAAGTCTCTGTTGGGACAGCTTCCTAGACCGAATTGACAAGATAGAATCCTGCTTCGCGAAGAGTACTTGGCGACCGAGCGGCGCTTTGTGGAGGAATTGGTACTCAACGTCATCACCTCCGAGAATGAAGCGCCGAAGAAGTGTATGATCGTACGATGATCAGAAAGAATTCGGGAGTGGGTCGTGAAATGCAAGGAGCCGGACGAGCAGAGGAGAGGGCCGACACCGGGAGTGGGAACGCGAAGGTTTGGAGCAGCACATCACCGGCGAAATCATCCTATTGTACCAGTATTCCTGCACGAGGAAAGTCCACTTCTTCGCCACTACTCTGTAGCGTGAGTTCGGGATGAAGTTCAGCTTGAACGAATTCTATGCGGGTCCGGAACCTCCGGAATCATTTCCGTGAATAATCGTGTCATGGATTCCCATGGGCCAAGGTAATCTGAGGCTATAGGCATCTCCGAGAGTCGGAACCGAAGCATCCTGGAAGAAAAGCGCGGAGCTGCCTCGCTCACTCCAGGTTTGCTGTGAGATATTCTGAGCGTCTGATCGTCGTTATCCTAAATGTCGCGAGACAGGGGCTATTGTCCTCGGATGTGTCGCCTTGCCACGCTGCAGGAAGTGAACGCTAAGCTCCCGCCGAAATAGGCTGCCGGTCGGATTACTCGCCCTTCCAGGAACTTCAGATGAAGGGCTTAGTGAATGACGAGCATTGCTTCCTCCTTGGGAACGCTCCTTCAGCGCGAGGCCCGTCCGATCGTATTAGAAAAGACCCGGGAGCTGGAAGCTTCCGCATCACTGGAATCGGGCTCGAGTAAGGAATGGATGATATTCCTGCTAGAATTACTCGAAGAAGGAAGAAAAAGGAACGCAGGACTTGATGTTTTATCCTGGGCGATATATTAAATAAGCTTTCAGTACAATGATTCCGGGCCAATTTCTGAGTTTTAGCTTCGCACCAATCAATGACCCTGGTGCTCGTCTACCTAGAGGGGCTATGGACGATTGCAACTACACACGAAGGGTTTACTCATCGGGATTATTCAGAATCCAATGAAGGACCATGCCGAATCGAATACTACAGGGCGACATACGAAAGCGGAGTTTTTCTACAGCGCTATTTGCCGTTTGGAAGCGCTGACTAAAGGAACTTTCTCCCTTCGAGTCGGCAAATCACTCTTGAAATATCTATACGTGAATACGTGGAATTCGGGCGATGAATATATTATCCTTTCATCGGGCTTATAACGGGTCAGCGTTTCCACCGAGGACACGATTCCCGTGGTCCATTGCTCGAGTTTCCTGCGCCAGAAAGAAGGTTCGCTCTTCGTTCCCAGCATGGGCCCCCATGCGGAAGACCTTTCAGACCCGAACTCCTCGACGACTCCAATCACACCGCACACCATCGTTTCATGACAAGCGTAAATATCGCCCACAAGATTATCTCCGACAAAGAGCATCCGAGGAGTCATGTGTCCACACGCGGCTTTGATTATATATTTCAAATTGAAGAAGCCTCCGTGGCAGAACTCGCGACCTTTCGCGTACTCTCCAGGCTTCACCACCTCTCCCTGCTCGAAGCCGTCCAACCAGTAGAAATTCCTCACGGTGAGCGTGAAGAAATGTGGTTTCTTGGCGCTGGTGATTACAGCGTCGAAGTAGTCTCGCCAATCTTCCCCGATGACGAATCCAAGCACGAAGTTTGCGAAATCAGCTTTACTGTTCGTGATAATCAAGAGGGCAAGTTTGCTTTCCTTCAACGTCTTCAACCACTGCAGAAAATCAGACGAGAGGGTGTACAAGTATTCCGATGGGTTTTCCTTGAGAGCTGAGAAAAACCCTCCTTCTCCTCTCGCGAAGTCTTCCTTCGCGAACAAGAAATTGTAGGCTTCCATGATCCTCTTGAATGGTAACTCGAAGTCCGGATCCTTCTCATCGATGCACTTCTGAACGAGTTCCATGAGTAAATAGATGGTCCCTGTCGTGAAGAAATCATCGAAACAGTGGACGGGCTCCTCATTACGATCGGCTCCTTCTTCTCGGAAGAACGGATCATATTTCATCGCGATCAGCTCTTTGCTACCAGCATACTTGTATAGGGCTTCATTGAGGTCCATGAGAGTTGTTCCGGAGTAGGCGAGCACGATGTTTCCTTCCTCATCGAGCTTGAGAAAAACTCCTTTCCGCTTATAGAAATAGATGCCTCTCTGAGCGTAGCTCAAATCGAGCTCACCGAATGGTCGGAATGTTTCTTTGGAATAGTATCCCTTATCGACCAAGAACTTCACCACTAGATCGTAGCAGAGCTTGTGTAAGTTATCGAGGCGATATCTCGCCAACGTGTGGTCGATATCGAACGCGACCACGGGCCAGTCCGTGAAATGGAAATAGGGAGATTTCGCGTATGGATCGTCAGCCAGTGATTTTCCACATATCTCCTCCGCACGTACGAGATCGTTCTTGAAGAATCGATTCACCATGTTCCCGGGCTGCACTGGGCGCGAAGTAAGAGCACGGTCGACAGGTGTTGCAGACCGAAATCTGCGGACGCAGGCTGAGCAGACCAACGTTTGAGCACACGGGAGGAAAAATTTCTGCACGTCAATTGTTTTGAGGCGAGAAGTGCATGTTGAGCTTCGAGGACACGCGCAGTGAGATTGCAGCCAGCTAGAGACCAGGAGGGAATTTTACGGAGATTGCTTATCCTGACCTGATGTCAGAAACCTCGGATGCTCGGTGGGGAGCGTCGGGGAAGAATCACGAACGTCGATAGGCTTTCCAAAGTTCTTCTACACGGCGATCGCTGTGATGGCAGTGAGTGCTCCGAGAGCGTCAGCTGCTACGCAGAACAACAAGTCCTGGGAGAGGGCTCGTCGCCCGGGGACGACCGCGAGCGCGGACATGGACAGCAGATGGGAGTCCGGAGCCACCAAGGGAATCTGCGGCAAATCCAGGATGAGCTCCAGGATGAAATTTTAATCTTCGGCCAGAAGTCGCGTCGGTGCCGTCTTCGACCACCCGAATTTATTTTCTTCACTCCTTACGCTTGGGATTCGATGACCTCAGCTTGGTGGAAGCAAAAATAGGCGCGGGGGACGAATGGAGAGGGTAAAAATCAGGCATTCCCGCGAGCGCGAAGGGCTTTTGGGTCAGCGAAGGAGCTCACCCAGGTTCCTTCGGCACCCTCATCATGGGTCGGCATGCTTCGACTGTATGATGACCGAAATAACAATCAGGGACCGCATAGGCGATTCTTCGCGAGGGGGCGAGGGGAAGGGGGAAAGGCGCTCCGCCCCGGGCATTGAGGGGGGCAAAGTTTTCGCTCAGGTTCAGTCTTATTGCAGGGAGGCTCATCTGGTCTTTGCTTTGCCTTTTGGTTTTCCGAACGTGGAATCATAGCGAGTTGCGAGTTGCGAGGTTGTCTTCACCTGACGATGGAAGATTCCGAAATCCCGTTCATGCGAGAGCTTTCCGGGATTCTGAGAACCAAGTCTGGTATGTACTTGGAGGCGGCGCGGCGACCGTCCTAGTCTCCGGTTCGAAAATCAGAAGGGGAAATTGAATGGGCACCGCCTGCCCAATGTCAGAATGACGAGGAAATTCGGGAAAATCGAGGAGACAAGCTCTCCATTGAGGAACTACTTAGCTGGAACTCGTTTAAGCTCCAAGGAGGAGGAAATATTGTAGCATCTTTCCTGAGCTATCTCCATTCCATCCTGCTTCTCCCACGAATCACCTTCCCACGAGACATAGGCACGGAGGATGTTCGCCGAGTGGGGAGAGCAGACGCCACGGCGGAAGTCGTGACCCATTAGGCACCCTGAGCCGGAGAGCTTCAAAAAATGCATCTCAATCGATAATAAGGAATGCAGAACTTCGACGGCTCGAAGGAATTTCTGATTCGGTGCAGCTCGAGACTCGGGAACTCCGAGTTCCGAAAAAGGAGTTTCCGAGTTTCGAAGAAGGAGTTTCCGAAATCGAGGATGAGGGAAAACCTTTTTCCGGATGAGAGAAAACGATAAACCTCTTGTCTTAAATCTCATTTCTTCTGACTTCATCTGAAATGCCCCTTGAAATATATGTACATATCACGTCGGCAGAGACCTGGCGCCGGCGATCCTAGACGAGCTCGTCGAGGATTGCCGAGACTCGTTCCTGGATGATTTCATTACTGCAGAAAAGTTCTTTCTTCGTGTAGGGAGGTTCAATGTGTGCCCACGTCGCAATGCGAATAATTTTCCCATCTTCAGTGCAAGGAAGACTCCTAGTTCTCAGATGTGCGATCAGCCGCTCTCGTCGTTCCTTCTCTTCGGTAGCAGTGAGAGCCTGCAAGAAGGAAGCTGTGTTCAGCGTTTTGGGAGTACTCCGAGAAGTCGAAATGACTTCTTCTGCAAAGATAAATCGATGGCGAAGCCTTGGACAATTGGCCTCCACGGGAGCCTAACCACCCGAGAGGAGTCTGTATTTCCTTCCCGGAGCGAGATAATCGCCCATAGGATCCGAGCACATGGCTTGAATATGACTCACCTTCGCGGGAGCGAAGATCTGATCAACGAGACGTGCGTGCTTCGAGCTATTCTCGCTGGCGACAACTTCCCTTACAGCGGAACCAATGCATAGAATCATGTCCTTCACTTTGTTCGACTCGATTCGGGCCAGAATCAGGCTGAAAGCAGGGGCGAGACTTCTGGCAATCCCGTTCGGACTTTTCTCCTGGAGATGCGCCTCCCGGCATCGCGGAGTCTACCCACGGCTAATCGTTTTCGAACGGATGGATAATTTCCCGAGAATCCTTTTCGATCCTCAACGCCTCCGAGCTCATAACTCGAAATCATCTCCTCGAGGCCCCAAAACCTTACCTCTTGCTCGTAGGATCAATCGAGTGAATTACTCCTTGGAAACATTTATCTCCCGCGCAGCTCACCGTCGCATCCGCAAGACGAATTTTCGCGAGAGCTACGGGATCGTCTTTCAGCTGTCTCCAGTTGTCTCCAAACGCTCGCACCTCCATCTGAAAAAATAGCGCAAGGGTCGCATTAGAGCCCATCCGGAATCCCAAGAAGGGAAATGAAGTCGAATTGAAGGCGTTAAGGAGGTTCTCCAGTGGGACATCCACGCTCGCAGAATAATCTGCGCTCGAGGATCATACATTAATTCCTGTCGAATGTACTTGGTAAAACTCCCAGATATAGCAGTGCCGATATAGCGCGAACCATTGCCGCCTGTTGGATCCGAAAACCGAAAAATGATCGATCCGTGAATTAGGTTCCGATATTTAGCGGAACAGCAATAAGGCTCCCTGGAGAGCAAATATTCATTGAATGGATATCCGGGTCTCTGGGGGATTCCCAGGGCACACTAGAACGACGAATCCCGACTGGAGTTACACGTCTCGTGGGAATTTGGAGTCTCTTAAATTCCCGAGAGTACCGAATCGACCAGTCTTTTTTGAATCGGGGACTCCGCGCCAATGTCAATGTCAGTTTTCTTCTCATATGAGGGAAGATACCGCTTTATGAACATAACTCATGCCGCAAAAATTACCGCTACGCTCCAGATCAATATCCAGTGTCCCTTCCCAAGGATAATGTCCGAGCTTTACATCACTCACTGCTCGTGGAGAGCAGGTTCTATCATTATAGACGATAATTGAGATTCTCTATGGAAGATGAGCAGATTCGCCTCCGGATTGAGACGACAATGATTGCGTCTCGCAGCGTTTCTCTGGAGAGCTCGATTGTGTTTCCCTCGCAGCATGGTGTCGCACCATCGCTCGCTCCTCCTGGGGACCCTGCGCTCTTTACCCAAGTCCTCTGAGACTTAAGGTCCCACTTTAGATTCCCACCTAGGCCACCTGTATCCGCACCTCCACAATGGGGCATTCGTCGAAAGGGAAGAACGGATTCATTCCATCGATGTGTGGAATCTATCTCTGACCCGAGCGCTATCCGAGTCGCAATGATCGATATTGAAGGATGAACATCGCCAGCGCACAACTTCGGAAGTTTCAAAATAACAGAAACGTGAGCGGATGCGTCTGGTGCGCGATTGCTGTCGCCACTGCAGGTACACGACACTCATCGTGTAGAAGCATAATTCTTGCATCATCTGGGACAAGGCTACTGATCTGGGAGCTAATGTGCCATTGAATCAATCAATGAGAGTGCATTTCTCGTCGCGGGCGACTCGTTCATGTCTCCTCGCTCCTTCCAACCTACCGCGGAATTGGCCAGACATTTCACCACCTTCACAGCTCCAATTTACGGCGATACATACGCGAGCTTTTACGTTTTTTTTAAAATACCTACGCGGGTATCACTATCGTAGAGCTCCCGATTCGACAATGATCACTCTCTAAGCCGGGGATTTATTTGCGATCAGGCTGAGCTGGGTATCGGGGAATTCATTGATGAATTGAAATCGAATCCTTGTCGAGGGCTACCGAAACGACTCACACTCTCCATATTCGTGATGATCGAGTCTGGTCCCATCTCTTAAGGCTTGAGAGCCCATCAAGGCATCTACCTTGCTCGAACCCCGAATGCTGGAGCAGAGCTGACGGGGTTCTCAATTGAACTAGGAGAACTCAATCCCCCCTCCCATCACATTTCGCTACAACGACCGATTCCTCTCGAACTTCCAGCGGATGAAAGCGGATCGTGTGGACATCCTCGCAGTACACTCATCGGCTCGCAGAAAATACACGCGGTCCTTCTTCTGCGAAAGCTCTCATTCTGATTTGATATACGCCGAGGCCGCTTCGAATTATAGAGGTCGGTATAGCACTCAACATTAGAGGTCTGCGGAGGCATGAGACCGAAGAGAATCCTGCCAGCTTCGGAATAATCTCATTACCGTTTATCAGCCTTCAGCTCGATAGAGGGTATCATCTTACTCTATCACATCCGATGTCGTTATGAATCGAATGCTTACACTCCAGCGAGGAAAGCCGACCCACACCGAGCGTGATCGAAGTATACCCTTCCAGATTCGAAGGAAGTTATTGCGACTCTTTCCTTGATTATCTCATCTGCACAGAATTATCTTATGCTGCTCATTGGAGAGCAGGGGGCGGCGAGGGAGATGGTGCAGTGCTTCCATCGACATCGTGTGGGGAATCCCTCGTTCCCAGATGCGCAAACCGCTGATTCCATCGTAGAATGTGATCCGGCCGCAGAGGAGGTCGACAATATGGAGACACACGATGTTCGGGGTCACGAATGCATTTGCAACGATGAAAATGGGGTTCGCCGCCGAAATGCATCGCCTTCCAAGGTCCGGGACAGTAAGTTCAAGAACGGGAGAACATATCGTTATGGGCTCCTCGATATTTTCACCATGGCTTGGGGCCATCGTCGCCGAAGTTTATGAACGTAGGGCAATTATTTCGAAAGAAGTATGAACATCTGTTCGTTAGCGAAGATTTGATCGACGACACGTGTCCCGAGAGCTGTGCTCGCTGCCAGCGTCGAGTATCTCGATCGCAAAACCTGGAAATGCCTTTGACTTCGCTCGTCTGGAAGAAAGTCAAGAGCAAACTGGAGGAGAGTTAGGATTCCGTAGAATTTCAAGTCGCAGTGTCTCCGCTCTCGCAGTGCACAGATACCCGATGCAGACGTCGCGGCTGATCCGAAATAATTGCCCAACGAGATCATCGCATGATGTTTTAGCTCCTCTGATAGGCCACTGGGCGCTTGCATCTCCATCCAGGACCTTTTCAAATCAAAATAAAACCAGGACTAAATCGAATCAGAACTTAAGAGCAGACGCTCCAGCCGATTCCGTGAAGCAGAAACCGGATGGAGACCGGATCGAATGCCGCGCGACAGATCCGCTAGACATGTCATCGTCGAGGAAGGCTGGAAGCAGGCGAGAAGGAGATGGATTCTCATCACCCGAGCTTTGCTACGTGTGCGGGTTTTGAGCCCACTGCCAGCGGGAAACAGATCCCGCCATTTTCGGGCGCCCGGGAGCCTCATCGAGACGAGTGGGGACATGTTCGGTGTCGCGGAAGAAAATTTGAGCTCCGCTTCCACAAATTAACTGCTTGCGAGTCTCGAGGAGCGATCTGCGCTGACTGATCTCGACTCAAAGGTCCAGTGCTGGAGTGCTCGAATGCTTTCGGGATGGAATACCGCGTCCATTCTGCTCGTCAGCGTTCCACACCGGAGTTGCTCCGTCCAGTGTTGCGTGAAACTCAGACTCACGGTCACCATGCATGAATTTCTCGTCGAACTGCATCTTCCTGATGCCGACTTGATCTATGAGAGTGCATTTCACACCTGGTTTTAGCACGCAACGATTCCAGAGACGAGCTTTTTATTGAGGATTGAATGCTTCCCGCGGTCTCCCGGAGTCTCCTGGAAGAGCTTTGTCGGTGGAAGTCTGCCAGCTCTTGAACTCATTGTAGCGAAATCTTCCGGAATCATGAGAATTCTGCGCTGCGTCGGAATTTCCTCTGAAGAGCTGGATTCATCACCGATTTGTTATTATTAGGGAGTGCAGGCATTCCGAAAGCTCGGAGTGAATCGCCTTACATCGGACCTCTGCGTTCCGCGACCAATTGAGAGTCCGCTTGGATGTCCTGGGCTGCACTAATTTGGCTGGAAAACAAGATAAATAATCTCGGCGCCGTTCGGATTACGGAGTGGGATCGCATTCGCCATTGCCATCCCATCCCATCCCTAGATTACTTCCATTTTGTACTCGAAGGGACGAGCGTCTGTTCTACATTTCGCCGAGATATCTCGAGGGGAGCTTCTTATACTATGCAAGCATCTCGCGGCTACTCAGGACGGAGGAAGATTCCGTCGCACCGCCAGAGCTACAGGCTACCGATTATAATCACGTGAATCAATATGTTGGATATGGAGCTCAAACATGAGGCAGTCAGCTCGCACGTCGGAATGTTCTCTATGTTGTTCCAGCCCATGGGTGAAGAAGCCCCGGAAAATCCTATCTCATAGAGAGACGAAGATTTCGGCGCTCTCGATGCGTGTGGAAGGAAGAATTTCGAAGGTACATCTCTGATATTTGAGCCCCGCAAAATTTCTCGAATCTTGGATGCATTGTATGACGATTCGGGAAGCCCAATCGAGCATGCTCCGAAACTTCTCGAGTGACATGATAGGTTCTGGCGAGCTCACCCGCGAAGCGCAATGCTAATTCACGGCATGGCAAAATCGAGGGGCAGCGAAAATCTCGAACAAACCATTCGTTCTGATGGTGCAAGTTCCCGAGTGGGAACGCCTGATGCCTCTTTCTCTTCAGAGTGCGAGCTGACAGATTATCCAGCTCCGTGTACTGCAACAACGTCAAACTGTATGCTATTTCCAGATTCAAGTGCGTCAGTCCTGCTGCGACTAAAGGAGCAGTACTCGTGTAAGCAGCTGATCTCACCGAGTGATTCGCTCGGCCTTTGTTCGCGCCGAACATGAAGCCGGAGAACTAGATCATCGAGCCCACACCACCTAAGTAAGATAACGTCCCATCAGGAAACACGAGGATAGGCAGCCTCATCATATCGTTAAAATTTCATGGATCAGGAGCATATAAAGCCCCTAGCGTTGCTCGAGACTCAGCGCAGGCCGCTTCAGGCTGTTCGAATGACCAACGAACTAGATTCCAGAGCATTGGTGTCGACGCATGCCACCTGTAAGCCTTGCACACCGCCACGGCGGAAGTAAAAGCATGGAACGTTGGTAGGGAGCGTAACCAAAGTGCACTCGATCACACAAGGCTCGTTGATAGAACTACGAACAAAAGCATCGTGTTAAGGTGAGTCGCAAGTTGAAATGCGAACACTGTGATTCGCATTGTAAGTCCGACCAGACCGGTGACCCCGAATCGATCCTTGAGGCTCGAATACGGATTCGCCATTTCTGGCGTGACGCCGTTATCTGGTGTAGCACCGGGGCACGGATAGGATCTCCAAAAAAATGGAAACAGTCCCAGGCAGCTTGTTTGCCGCCAGATCTTGGATCTGGAGGGGGCGAGTTGCAACGAATTGCGGTTTTGTAGCTCGGAGCTGCAACTCCTTGTGTCTCTTGGCGAGAGAATAATCCAATACAAGAACAATCTCCGACGAAGTCCACGGATCATTATACGTACAGACGAACGAATCTCTCCTTCGGTCGTGGCAGAAGTGGAACATCATTCGGAACTATTAGACCGAAGCTGAGAAGCTGAGAATCCCGGTCTCGACTCGTTGGTGGAAGAGTCATCGGTCGAGCCCGTGGCTCCGCGAGGGGAGAAGCGACTTTAAGGAAGAAGTTCCCATCACTGAATCGAGATCTTCGACAAGACTCCCGAGGAGGAACTTCTCGAGTGAGCTAGGGATATTCTGGAGGGAAGATAGCGTGGATATGGGTCGATCGAGGACATCCATAGAGTCCTTCCATCTCCCCGGATTCTGATTCCAGCCGGAGCGGCGAGCGCTCGCACGGGGCACTCAGCTGCTGAGGCCGGACGGCACTTTGACGTGAGCGGCGTCGCTCGATCAGACCGTCGTAGAGGCTCCGAGAGAAACTGTCTGCTAACCGTTTTTCTGTACGACGGCCGCAGCGCCATTTCTGATACAACTAGCGGCAACCGGCGACCGTGGCAGAAAGTGAAGAAAATACGGACAGCCCAGACAC